GAAAAGATAACACCGTCTCCCCTTGTTGGGGAGGGGGAGGGGGAGAAGAGAGAAAAAAAATAAACCTTGGAGCAATGAGGACCACATTCCCACTCTGAGGGGACCACTGCTATGCAATCACAAAGGCGGAGTGCGAGGAGCGGGATTTGTAGGGTCAGGCAGGGAGACCAAAAGGAGGCAGGCTTAAAAAGGCTGCTGAGCGAGGCTTTGTTGAGCTCTCGATCCCAGGCGGACCCTCAGGCCAGCAGGGTGGGTCCCAGGAGCAGGTGGGGGCTCCCCCCCCCCACACTGGAGTTTTTATTGGGCTTAGGGCAGGAAGGCAGGGCTTGGGAAAGGAAAATGGGTTCTTAGAGTCCCTTGTCCTACAGGGTTTGTTGGGGGAGCTGGCTAAGATCCAGCGTGGCCAGGAGACCCCGCCGATTGACAGGTGGTTCCGTGGGTGTCTGACTGGTGTTTCTTTCGCACACACGCAGGTTGTTTGGTCCTTTGTTCCTCAGTCACCTCCATTGACCTGACAGCCTGGCCTTTTTGGTGAATCTAATCTGTCTATCTCCTGCTGGCTGGGGCACTGGGGGGTGGGGAAAGGGATGGCTCGGGGGTCAGTTCCATAGGGAGGCCACTGCAGGGGTGTAGGAACATGGGTTGTAGGTCACTCTGGCAATTTCACCCACACACACAAAAAACATTTTAAAAAATAAACCTTGGAGCAATGAGGACCACATTCCCACTCTGAGGGGCCACTGGGTGAACCTGAGGAGGCAGGGAGCAGCCATTCATAGAGGTCCTACTACTAACAGGAGTGAGAATGGGGGTCGGCCATGCAATGGGGGCAGAGTTCAGCCAGCTGGCCACGGGTCAGGCTGCTTAAGAATAGACAGGTTCTCCTTTGTCTGCCGTCAGGAGGTCTAGGGCTCGACGGTGCTGTAATGAGACTTGGGCAATAGACGGGGAGCAGGAGAGGCAGCGGATGCCTCGACCGCCTCCCGAGGTTGTTGTGGAAGCTTCTGAGTAGCGGGTACTGCAGAACCAAGTCCTCCTGCCCCCAGTCCAGAGGCAGCGAGGGGGGAGGCCAGGGACAGTCCAATTACTTACTACTGGTAGGAAGACGGCCCTTCTTGTCCTGGAAAGGGAGGTGGTGACAAGCCATGCTAATTTGGCCTCACTGGACAGAGTTAATTGGGGACCAAGGTGGAAGGAACCCAAAAAAGCCAACGGCATGTTGAGGCTTAGATTTTTTGTTAAGGTACCATTGCACCAGAAAAAGAACCCCAGCAGAGCAAAGGTTGGGGAAGAAATTCAAACAATCTGGTCACAGGGTTCTGAACCAGAGGCAGTGTAGCAGCAGGGGAAATTCCCTGATGAGTTAGAAAAAAGAGGTACTTCCTCAAAGGCTGGAGAGGGGAGCCCTTGGGGTCTGGTTGAGATATTGAGAGGAAGGTCAATGGGAATCTCAGTTGATGGAGTTTGATCCAAACCTGTGCAGAGAAAACAGTCTGAAATGTTATTCACTTTGGACAAATTGAGAAGCTGAAGGCCCTGACATATTAGGGCCTCCCATGAGAAAGGGTCAGCTCTAAGATGGGCAGCTGCATCCAGCTGGTGTTGGAGTTCTCTCTCCTGCTCCTGGATGGTCATGTGAATTTGAGGGAGCACTTGTATATAAGTTCTCCAGATTCTGAGAGAGGCTGAGGGGTACTTGCAAAAACCCCAAGAATAAAATTAACCATCAGCACCAGAAGCCCATTTTGGGTCCCATGGGTCCCAAGTAGTTAACTTGGTGTATGCTCGACTCTCATAGCCAGGCTCATCTAGGAAGCGTGTCTTGCATGAATTATCAGGGCACCCACCTTAGGTGTCAGGCCGGCACTTACAGGATTCCTCAGTTTGGTCTGCTATGAAGCACAGCATTGCTGTGCACAGGTGGGACGAGGTGGCCCTGTTGAATCCAGTAACATTAGGGGTGATAGCCCGATTACAGCCAGTGAAAGGGCAATCGCCTTGGCCCATAAACTGAGAGTGGGTGGTGCCATCCTGCTGCCATGTCGCTTGGATGTAGAAGCGCCATCTGTGGGTTGGGAGAGAAGCTTGAGAGAGAGTAATGATTAGCAAAAGAAGAAGAGGGTTGGCGAGAAACCTTGAGTTGGGTGGGCCCCAATGTGGTGGAAGTCCAGGACTGGACATTTGGAACAGGTGCTTTCCTAAGGAAGAACACATGGTACCAGGGGGAGTGGCCCAAGAGCTTGGCCACCATTGGGGTAGTAAGTATGACTGGGGTCCTGTCCAGCGAGGTTGCTACAACTGAGGATGCAGCTCTCGAAGTAAGACTGCGTCACCCGGTTGAAGAGGGTCCGATTCAGTTCCTGGTTGTGCTGGGACAGAGGTAACAGATGGTGCAGGAAGACACCGGTCTGTGTGTTCCCTTAGGAGTCTGTGTAGAAGTGTGAGATAGGGCAGGTGGGACACAGGGGAGGAGTGGTGACAGGAAAGCTTTGCTTGATTAAGAAAGGGCGCCATAGAGCAGCTCAAAGGGACTCAGGTGAGGGCCAACGGCAGGAGATGGGGCCAGGACAGCCAAGTTCCATAGCAAGTTTAGTGAGATGATCCTTGAGAATGCTGTCAGTCCTGTCAACCTCACCCGAGGATGGGGGTTGGTGGGAGATGTGGAGCTTCCAAGTGATGTTGAGGCCTTTGGAGACTAGTTGAACCTGAGAAGTGAAGGCTGGACCGTTGTCTGACTGGATGGAGGTGGGAAGTCTGAACCTGGGAATGATCTGCTCGATAAAGATGGAGGCGAGGGTGTCAGCAGTTTCCCTGGGGGTAGGGAAGGCTCCTATCCAGCTGTAAGAGAGTGCTGTCCCCAAGTCACAAGCAGTTGGATCCTGTGCCAAGGCCTGACCAAGGAGGTGGCGACTGTCCCTGAACCCTTGGGGTAGGGCTGTCCATGTCAGCTGTTGAGACCTAAAGGACGCAGGGTCTTCCCATGTGAAGGCAAAGAGGTGATAAGAGTCAGGATGGAGGGGCGCTGTAAAGAAGGCAGCTTTAAGATCCAGGACAGTAAAGCGAGTGGTCAGAGAGGGGATAGGAGAAAGAAGAGTGTCAGGGCTGGGAACCACCGGGTGGAGGGAATGACCGCCTCATTAATTAGGTGGAGGTCCTGGACTAAGCGATAGGCCCCTGAGGGTTTGTGTACTGGCAATATGGGGGTGTTGAGGGGGAGTCTGTAGGAATGAGGAGTCGCCGGGCAAGTAATGGGTCTATGATGGGTTTAAGTCCCTCCCTGTGGGTTTTGGAGATGGGAAATTGGGGACAAGAAGGAAATTTAGTCTGGGGTTTCAGCTGGATATGGACTGGCTTGTGGTGGGAGGCTGTGACTGGCTTGGAGATGTCCCAGACCTGGGGATCGACTAGGTCAGGGGCAATGGGACGGTAGGTATCTGTTGGGTATTAGAGAGGAAAGGATCAGAGGCAGAAGGAGATGGGTGGTAGTCTTCTTGGCGTGTAGTCGGAGGGTGGCTCCTAGGAGTTGGGGAAATCTCTGCCTAGAAGGGAACTGGACAGGACGGAATGACCAGAAAAGAGTGTGTGGAAGGATGTCCCTCCAGGGCACAGGCCAGCCTAGCAGTTCGGTTTGGGAAGGAGGGTTTGCTGTCCATAACTGAGATATGGGAAGGAAACAGAGGCCCAGAGTGGGCAGGCAAGACAGAATAGGTAGCCCCCATGTCCACAAGGAAGGTTGTGGACTTACCCGCTACCTGGAGCGTTACCCTGGGCTCGGCGAGGGTGATGGGGGTCCTTGAGTCCGGGCTTCTTCAGTCTTCTGCCAACCCCAATAGTTCAAGAGAAGGGACTGCCTGGCTGGTCACGCCCCCACGTGGGGGTGCCTAGGAAGGGCCAGCCATGGGGCAGTCACTGCCCCAAAGTCCTGTCTGCTTACAGGTGGGGCACGGCCTGGAGGGGGGCCGTGGGTTGGGCACTGGTGGGCCGTGACCTTCGCATCCACATTTGAAGCAAGCCCCTGGTGTAGAGGAATGCTGGTCCCCCGAGAAGTTCTCACCTGAGTGGTCGGCCTCAGGCCCACTGCCAAGGCCTGGGTTTGGAGCGTTACCTTTTTGTGCAATGGAGCCTGCTTTAAAGGCCATTTTCACCAGATCTGGGATACGGGTCTGAGGGCTCTCCTCAGCTCGTTTGAGCTTTGGGTTAGCTGGTAAGAGGGCCTGGTGGGAGCGGGTGTGGGCACTGACAGGAGAAGAGAGAGTGAGTGGGTGGAGGAGTCCGTTGTGGGGGGAGGGGAAGTGTTTATCAGTAGAAGAGGTGGATGCAGGAATCATGGCTGCAGGAGAGGGGGAGAGGAGGGGACGGTCCTGGAGTGGGGGAGGAGGAGCTGTGGTAGCAGGAGGAGGGGGAGGGGAGGGGAGGAGGGAGGGGTAGGTGTGGGTATGGGGAAGGCGGGAAGGTGGGGTGAGAGCAGCCCGGGTGGATCTGAGAGTGTGGAAGGAGAGGTCGAAGAACAATGGAGAGGGCTTGGGGATTTTCCCTGGCAGGGAAGACTTGAGCAGGAGAACAGACAGAACAGAGGGTGGGGCGGAGCGAACCTCAAAACGCCTGAACGCGCCTCCAGACTTAAGGGACCTCTGCCCGCCTCCCTGTCTGGTGACAGAAATGTCCAATTCAGTGAGGATTTAAAATCAAAAGTTCCTTCTGGGGGCCATTGTGACCCATTGTCTAAGTCCCACTGGGGCCAGGCCACAGTGCAGTAAATGACCAGGCGGTTACGGTGTAGGTCTTGAGTGAGCCCTAACTTGGCAAAATTTGAATAGAGACATCCAAAGGACTTTTGGGGTCTAAGGAGGACTCGGTGTTTCCCAAGACCTTCCGGCACCCTCGGGGGTGGGTGGGAGCAGAAAAAGGCGTCCCAAATTCTGATGGCATTCACCTGAGGAACAGATAAGGGCTCGGGGGACGGTTGAGGCATCCCTGTAATCTGCCAGGAGCCCAAACAGATCAGAATGGCTCACACAAGAACTGGGAGTCTCCGCAGTCCCCAGGCCTTGAACGGAACAGGTGGGAGTCTATGGCACACGCGTGACTTACGGGCAGACCCCCGTGGATGGAAAGGGGCTGGAAGGTCAGGGGAAATGGGAACTTACCCCACTCTTGCCAGCCTGATGAAGGGAGAGGGAAGGAGCAGCCTAGGAATTTCCTGGTTCCTTTGAAGCGGGGATGATGGACCTCAATCCCCAGTTGTAAGGTATGGAAGACGCCCAAAAATCCCTCCCGGGTTTCGGCACAAGATGTAAGGCCAGACAGCTGCGACCAAAAGGCGGCAGATTTAAAAAGGCGGCTGAGGGAGGCTTTGTTGAGATTTTGCTCCAGGGTGGGACGCTCAGACCAGCAGAGCGGGTCTAAGGAGAAGGGTGGGGGGCTCCACTGGACTGAAATTTTTACTGGGCTTAGGGCAGGAAGAGAGGGCTTGGGACAGGAAAAGGGGTCTTTAGAGTCCCTTATCCAAATGGGGTTTGTTGGCAGAGTTGGCTAAGATCCAGGATTGGTCAGATGACCCTGCTGATTGACAGGTGGCTCCGTCGGGTGTCTGGTGTTCTTTTGAGCGCAGGTTGCTTGGTGGTGCTTGGTTCCTCAGTCACCTCCATCGACCTAACAGGATCTACTTAAGGGAGAAGAGGTACACCCTGCCATCAGGAGGCGCCTGATGTAGAAAAGCCCAGGTTGGTGTGCCAGCTTGGGAGCTCACCCATGGTTCTGGGGAGAACCTGAGCAAAACCCGGTAAACAGTTCTAGATCAAGGCCAGGGTCTTCCTTTCCATCTGGGTTCATCCCCCTTTCTTCCCACAACTTCCCTCTGGGTTTACCTTCTGGTTTTTCGCCTGTTGGACAAAGGAGCTGGTGGAGGTGTTCCCACAGGTGAGCCTCAGGGTCTCTTATATTTGAAATAGGCCTTGCTGGTGCTCAAGACTAGGTCTCCCTTACCCTCCAGGAGGTGCGCTCCCTGTGCTTAAAGAAGACTGACCATTGGTGTTTTTATTCACTATTACACTGAGTATTTTCTTGCTCAGTAAAGGAGAAGATTTGCACATATTGGCTCTCTCCTTTGTTTTTATTCATCCCTTGCCCTACAATTTTTACTCCATATTGAATTTCCCCATGTGCATTTCATTTTTCACCTCACCCCAACGTGTGTTCAGTCCCCCTTTTGGGGGATTTCTTCACACCCAGGACCTCACTGAAAGGAAGCTTGCAGAGTACCACAAAGTCCAAAGACCATGCCTGTTGTGAGGGGCAAAAGGTGCGACTTTGCAGTCCAGGGGGAGAAATAAACAATGTCTAGGCCCTTTTTAATGTTTTAGTCACTCAAATCACTCCATACAGTTTAACTCTATAGGTTCTTGATCAAGAAAATGACAAACCTTAATGCTGGGCACTGCAATAGACATAATCATTTCACAGCAAACAATTCTAGATTAATTCCAAGCACTGCAAACACAATCATGACAGGCTAACGACAGACATTCTCTCTGAATGCTAAGTTCAAGTGTCAGATCAAAAGTCTCCAGCCTTAGTCTTGAAGTCCAGCAGATGTGCACACTCAAGACTGCGGTGATCAGGTCTGGAACCAAGGCAGGCTTCTCCTGGGGTGGAGCTGATGGCTGGCTGAGGAGACCATGTCCTAGGGAGAAGTTGCGACTCACCAGGGTCAAGATGTGGCTGTAGAGTTTGAGAGCGATGAGAACTACACAGAGATTCAGGCAGATGAGAAGAGTAGGGATGTCAGTCCAAGTCCTCACCAGGCTCTCAGGCTCGTGTGTATCAGTGTCACCAGGCTGAATGTCTGTTCATTTGCTCTATTATTTATAACAAATTTTGGGGCTTTTGACCCCCCTTTTAATCCTGTCAGCAGCCGCTGGATCTCTCAGTGACATCATTTACCCTGGGGTTAAAACATCTGGTCTGGTGGTCCCCACCCTGATCTTTTCTCATTCCCTCTTATCTTTTCCCTCCCAGGGGCTTCACTCTGAGCTTGTCAGGGTGGGGGAAGTGACTTGTTTTTGTCTGAGGCCACTGGAGGGCTCCCTAGGTGTGCCTGGTGAGACTGCAGGTTTCAAACTGGAGTTTTAAAATGCAGTTGCTAAAGCTCAGGCCTCAGGCCACCTTCACAGTGCCACACGCTGGAACCCTGCCAGAGAGTCACTGTCAGTAGCTGGAGGCAAGCCGGCAAGGCTGTCCTCCACGAGAGCAGCAGCTGTGGACACTCAGAGCAGCTTAGAGCCCCAGGAGGGGCCTCGTAGCTGCCTAGGAGCTGCGGCCTGAGCTGGGTGGGGCTGGCTGTTTAGCAGGCCTGTTCTTACGGGAAGTTAAGCAGCTTTGCCTCAGAATCGAAACTTTGGAGCCTCTAGATAAAATGGCTCCCAGCCTAAAACAGTGACTCCGATGCTGATATTGATCTGCTGCCAATACTGCCCACATATCAACCCCCGTTGGGGACTTCTTGCTGTCTTAGGTCCCTGTATGTTCAGTTTCATTCGGGGACTCCTTGCATGTCCTCCCGTCCAGTTTTCTTGTCTTTTTTTGGGTACTGGGCATGGAACTCAGAGGCACTCCACCACTGAGCCACGTCCTGATGAACCCAGCCTAGTTCCATCTTAAGATTCTGAGCCATCTTGTCACAAAATCCTGAAAAGTTGATTTCTGTTTTACTATAAAATTCTGAGATTTCTAAACTTGCTTGGGATGCCTGCCCGTGCCTTGAGCTCACCCATGCCTGGCTTTGCCTGACCAGATAGCAGCCCTCCCTAAAACCTTAGTAGCACCTCAGAAGTCAGGCTCCCCGTGACCAGTAGCAGCCTCTGAATTTACTGCTTACCTTGAAATATCAGGCCACGGAGATCATTAACCTGCTGCCTGCCCTTGTATTGTGTTTGCCAGACCCTGTTAGCTCTAGGTTCCCAAGACACCCCCTTTGTAACTTTGTGCTATGTAAACCTTTTCTTCCCTGAGAGCTGGGCTGAAATTTAGGTGAGACAACCACTGGCCAGCTCTCTTTGTGTACACAATATAAGTTTGCTTTAATTTGGTTAAAATTGGAGTCAGTGGTCTTTTCTTTGCATTGCGGGTTCAAAATCCCCAGCCCTATTTTATATTTTATTTAGAGACAGGGTCTCACTGAGTTGCTTAGCGCCTTGCTTTTGTTGAGGCTGGCTTTGAACTCGCGATCCTCCTGCCTCAGCTCCCCGAGTCTCTGGAGTCACAGGAGTGCGTCACCCGCCTGGCTCCCATCTGCTTTTCCTGATCTTGTAGCAGGGTCCACTGCACCTGTGGAAGAGAGCGCCCCCTGGGTTTATTTAAAAGGGACAAGTTTTTCTTTTCCTCTTCTCCCTCTCTCCCTCCTTATCCTGGGGACAAGATTACCTAGAGTTATCTGTCCTCCACAGGGAGGAGATGTCACTGGAAGAACTAGAAAGTGACAATCTAACAGATTAACAGGTGAATGTCAACACAGCACCAGGGTGCACCATGACCCCGTCAGGGCACACCTGGAGGTAGCCTTTGAATAGCGTCTTCAAAAGCCCTGTTTTCCCTGCTGGGCAGAACCACAGCCTCTGGGCAGGAGCCCCTGAGTTTCTCCTTTGCTAGCCAAGAAATAAACTTCTTTTTCCTTTTTCTCACAACCTTATGCTTGTTGTTGGATTGGCATTTGTCACAAGAACAGAGCTATCAGTAACGATCTTGTGATTCTGAATCACACAGGCAACACCCTCTGGGATGGGCTGAGCCCTGGAGCCTGGGGCTAGATTCTGGCTTGGTCTGGGCAGAGGCTGCGGGGGACTTGCCCGGGCCCTTTCCCTGTGTTGCCGATCCACTTTTGAGCCTCTTTGGATTTTGGGTCCTTTGTCAGCCTCACGGATGGCAGTTTCTGCCCCTTCTCAGAGACCACCGCAAGGCAGCGGCCGTGCCTTCTCTGAGGAGGGTGTAAAGTTCTTGCTGAGCATCTGGGTGGTCTTCAGGGACAGCCGCTGTGTGAGGGAAAATTCCGCTTTCCGCCCCAGGGCCTTTCCGAGGAAAGCTCACCACTCCCTCACACCAACCCCACCCTTCATCACCCACTTTAGGACCTGCCGAGCTCTAATCCCTGAGCCACCCCCATAAAAGTCTCTGTCAGATCAGTCGGGGCAGGCAATGGCCAAAGGAGGCAGATTTAAAAGGGCCGCTGAACAGGCTTCATTGAGATATCACTCCCACAGAGGGGACAGGAGAAGGGTCTGAGGAGAAACCACGTGGAAGCTCGACCGGACTGGACTTTTATGGGGCTTACAGCAGGAAGGGAAGGGCTTGGGACAGGAAAAGGTGTTTCTAGGGTCCCTTGCCCCCTTGGAGTTGGTCAGGGGAGTTGGCTGAACTCCAGGATCGGCCAGGGGGTCCTGCTGATTGACAGGCGTTAGTCGGGAGATCTGGCTGATTGACAGGCATTTCAGCCAGCATCTGATTGATGTTCTTTTCTGGTGCGGGCTGCTTTGTTCTAAGTTGCCACTAAGTCGCCAAGTCGCCGCCACCGACCTAACAGTCTCCAACCCAAATTTGTATTGCCTTTGTTACCAGCTCTGACAAATAAACTCCGTCTCTCATCTCTTGTCCATCTCCTGGTTCCTCGATTTCCTTTCAGAGGGTCCTTTAACCCCTAGGTGGTGCATGGAATGCCATGTTGGGTGCCAAAATTGTTAGAAATACCAAGGTGTTGCAAGAAACCAAACACGGGCTGGAAAGTGGGTGGGCAAGGCAGAAGGGCTGCTCTGGACCTGGCCAGCAAGGGCTCCTGGGTGGGAAGTCCCCAGTTTATATCAGCAACCTGTGGCCCCACGTCCCTGGACTCTGATGGGAGGAGCTCTGGGTTGCCATCTCTGCAATTAGCTAATTTTAGAATTAGGGAAGCTCTGCAATTGGATCCGATTAAGGCTGAATACTAGATTTTTGGGGTACCAGGATTGAACTCAGGGGCACTCAACCACTGAGCCACATCCCAGCCCTATTTTGTTTTTTATTTAGAGACAGGATCTCACTGAGTTGCTTAGCGCCTCCCTGTTGCTGAGGCTGGCTTTCAACTTGCCATCCTCCTGCCGCAGCCTCCCTAGCTGCTGGGATTACGGGCGTGTGCCATTGAGCTCGGCTGAATACTAGATTTTGAAAAAGAACCACCAGACTTTCTATTTTGCACACTCAGGGCATCTCCTGTGGAAATGCCTGCCTCACCCTCCTGCGGCTGGGCCAGAGGCTGCCCAGACCCCTGTTACAGAAGATTTAAGGAGTCTTTTGATGGGGACTCATAATGACTTTGGGGGGTGGAAGGCAAAGCTGAGGGTGATGCCCTTGGAGCTGCAGGGGCTGACTGTGGCTGGCAGGGTGCAGGTAGCTGGGTTTTCCCTGCTCCCTGTGGGTCCGCTAACAATTGTGACAGACAAAGGGACATAGGACTGTCCCTACTTGCCCTATACCAGGCCCTGGGGCTATTAGGGTGGGAGTGTGGTGGTCTGGAGAGTGGGGAGGGGAGTGAGTGGGCTGAACTTGGCTGGCTGCTCAAGGGGGGCACTGGCCAGCTCAGCTGGAGCCTAGACCTAGACCACACCCAACAGGGTCAAAACCAAGCAGGCCTCCCCTCAGGCCAGGGTGCAGAGTCCATGGTGAGGCCAGTGGAGCAGGACTGAGCTTGGAGGGCCACGTGGCAGTCTCCCTGGCTGCTCCGGCCCTTTGTTGGTAGCACCCAATACAAGAAATCAGGCACATGCCCAGGTTATTCAGCAAGGCCACCTTTACTCTGCAGAGGACCACAGTCACAGGCTGAGCAGCACTGCCCCTTGCACTCACAGGCACCGCTGTGCGGGGCGGGAGGTGGGCGTGCTGGGTGCACAGCCGACCCTTGGCTAATTCTAACACTGGGGCAGGAAAGGCAGCGGGGCTGTGGTTAAAAAGGCTGCGAGTGGCTGTCACCAAGTGGCTGTCACCGAGTGGCTGTCACCGAGTGGCCGTCACCGAGTGGCTAGCTGAGCACTGTATTCTGAGAAGGGACCCAGACTTTCTGGGTCTCACACCTGCACACTCACCCCGCCTACCACCCTCACAGTCTCCCTGCCCCTCTGAAGGGTAGTGCAGCTTGGGGACCCCTGGCCAGGGGCCTGTCCTCCTAGGCACTGCACTCCCCGTGGGCAAAGATGTCCCCCTTTAGGCCACTTGCTGGGGTCAACTGCCAATAACACCCTAGCAACAACCAGCACCTCTTGGCAGGACAGTCCCTGTTCCCACTCCTCCTAGTGGGGTCTTCCTGACCGGGCAGTGGGGCTGGCCAATCTCCAACCCCAGCCAGCACACGGTTTCTGACACCACTTGGCTGTGGGGAGGGGTTCTAGGGTGGAAACGGGCTGGCCAGGTATGCAGGAGGCGTTTGAGCATCCCCTGCAGCGGTGCTCTACCCCCCAGCGGCACCCTCAGTCTCCATAAGTTGCCCCTGCCCGCCGAACTTCCGATCCTCTGGCCTCAGCCTCGGGGCGGGTGGGCTCTGAGGCTTGGTCTTGAGAAGCAGCTGCAAGAGCAGGGGTCGCGCTGCTGGGCGGGGATGGGGGAAGGTGCCACAAGCGGCCAGGTCTCATCCCTTGCTGACGGCGCGGGGCCCTTCGCACCCAGCCTCATTGTGTAGCGGAGGAGGCTCCTGGCCTCGAGGGGAGCAGGGTCTCCACTGGGAAGGCTGCCTGTGCACCGCCTGGCAGTTCAGGAAGGAAAGCTCTTGGGCCAGGGCGGCAGTCGCTGCTTTTAGTTACTGAAAGTCACTGAGTATAATTTGAAATGGAAAATAAGAATTTTAAGAGACCCTCATTTTCAAGGACCTTTGAGCTGCAGGTCAGAACAAGAGGCTGAGAATTCTTTAAGAAGCCATAGGGCCAGTTGGCACAGGCCTGTGCTCCCCAAGGTAGGGAGGCTGATCAGGAGGGTCAAGTTTGAGGGCAGCCTCCACAACTTCAAGACAATGCCTCAAAATAAAATAAA